CATTCCTTACTGTCGTAAACAAATAATATACTGTCGTATAGAAACATTCCTTACTGTCGTAAACAAATAATATACTGTCGTATAGAAACATTCCTTACTGTCGTAAACAAATAATATACTGTCGTATAGAAACATCCCTTGCTGTCGTTAAAGTAAAAAAGCATAGAAACATCGCTTAACTATCGTTAATTTACAATCCAAGGGAAATGTGATGCACCATCCAGAGCGTGGAAACATTTGGTCTTACAGGAAAACGTCAATAAAAAATTACACTGAGTGGTCAAGATTGAGACTTGCAAAAGTGTTGTCGATGGAAAATGGTACAGGTTTGAGGTCCCTGTCAACACGGCTAGGGTATTGTTCATGTCCAAACCCCAAAAATAATATATTGTACACCATTTGTGTATGTAATTTCCACCGAAAGCGGGAGCAAAGCAGTTCTCAGATTCCGATAAAAAGTTGAATAAAGAAACTGAAGCTGGTCGTGAGTTGTGACCTCATGACCCCACCACAAACTTTCCACCCCGGTTCTCTTGTTCCCAGAACAGCTGTGAGAGTTAGCCAGACTGAACTTACCTCTGCTTCACTCTCTACTCAAAACTACATATATTTTATATACATACTGTATATCTATATTTATATATTCTATCTATTATATCTATATATCCCCCCCCCCTTCAAGAAAAAAAAGACCACAAAGTGTAACGACATAAAACAAAATCTATAAATAACAGTACCGTAACGACATAAAACAAAATCTATAAATAACAGTACCGTAACGACATAAAACAAAATCTATAAATAACAGTACCGTAACGACATAAAACAAAATCTATAAATAACAGTACCGTAACTAAGTCACCACCCCCCACTAAGTCACCACCCCCCCAAGTGATCACCCCATGACCTCACCTCCTCCCCCCCCACCCTCAAGCGATCACCCCATGAGCTCACCTCCTCCGCACTGAGTGTCCAGCCGTTGGCGGCGCCCATATTGTCGTTGAGCTGGTCAAGCGTCCGTGCCCCGATGATGACCGAGGTGACCACATCTTTCTGCAGCAGCCAGCGGAGGGCAACCTGTGCCACGCTGCGACCTGTACACCAACCGACACAGACCACAGGATGTTTTATAGAATGGCAGTTTTACGGTGGTTAGATCTAGTTTAGGTGTAAGTTTTAAAAAGTACTTAGTTTTGGTAACAGTTTTACAGTACATGTACTTAGTTTTAGTTACAGTTTTACAGTACATGTACTTAGTTTTAGTAACAGTTTTAAAAAGTACTTAGTTTTGGTAACAGTTTTTTTTACAGTACTTAGTTTTAGTAACAGTTTTAAAAAGTACTTAGTTTTAGTAACAGTTTTACGGTTCTTAGTTTTAGCAAGAATTTTACAGCACTTACAACACAATTAGGTCATACATATACATGATAATATAAGTGCCGAAGATTGGAAGTTTTGTGACAGAGTAACAAACACAAACCAGAAGGAGGAAAGATAAAAAAGAATGTTTGTCAGGAAAGAAGGAAAAAGACGAAGGATAGATATAATAGGAAAGAAGAGGAGAAATGAGGGGGATATTAGATAGGAGAGATGTTAGATTGGAAAGAAGGAGGAGAGGAAAGAAGGATAGAGATGTTAGATAGAAAAGAAGGAGGAGAGATGAGGAGGAG